TGTGCTCTTTTGCCAGTAATCTGATAGCATATGAATGGAAATACAGGGTGGTAATTGTCTCCTACGGTAGCCGTTATTATCTGAAATAACATGGAAGCTCGATATATCTTATCTGCAAACTCTTGTATACACCAGCTGGACTTTAATGTTCTGCCCTGGTAAATGATCACTTAGTGTAACCGGATTTTATTCCATGCCATTGCCAAGATATTAATTCTCTGGGCACTGTTTAAGAAAATTGATTACTTTTATTGAGCACATTTTATTGAATGTTTTTAATTAATAATGAGCTGCTGTACTAGAGCTACAATAACATAGTACCATCTTCCTCACTGTAAGCAACTGTTATCTGATGTTGATCTCATTAATGTAGAGGTTCATCTTTGCAGCATAGCCACGAAGCAATCCTTAACAGTGAGAACATGTGTAAACAGTAAAAAGGTTTTCCTTTATAACAACAAATCCCATGATTACTTTTCTTACATAACATCCTGAATCAGATTATCTAGTTTGATTATTCGGTGTTAATTTTTCTGTTTTTAAAGCGGAGTTCCACTCACACTGTAAAAAAAAAAAATAAAAGTCTGCAGCTACAAAAACTGTAGCTGCTGACTTTTAAAAAACAGCCACTCACCTGTCCCACAATCCCACGGTGTCCTCCCCGCAGTCCGTTTCACCAGCCGTCCTGTGTTCCAGGCTCCAGCATCTTTAGTGTGGGCACCCGGCTGTGACAGCTTGTGGCGTCACAGCTGGGTGCCCACTGCGCATGCGCAAGTAGCACTGCGCTTCCTGAATAGCCCTGTCATCTTCTGGGACGTGTCACATGTCTCAGAAGACCACAGGGAGGGGAGGTGGACAACTTCTGCTTCTGATTGCCTGGGTGATTGCAGCGGAAGTGGGAGCGGGTACCTGCTGCTCCCCAAATGTGCCAATCCTTAATGGGGAGCGAGGGACCAATCTTTAAAACAGAACTTCTCCTTTTGGGTGGAACTCTGCTTTAAAGTGAACCAGTGCTTTGCTCATGTGGGGCAAAGCAGCAGGTTTACTTTATAGCGAATCCCTGTAGCATCTTGTACTTTTAGTGGCGTGCCCCTTGACTCACCATGTTAAGATGCGTCCTTAACTCCTTTTTCTCATGTCCCCTTGAGTTCCCACAAGCCCCTGGGCTCCTAGATACATCCAGGTGACTAGATTTCTTATTTTCTCACCCTCTGCAGCTCAGAGAGAAGGCACTTGATTTGGCAGAGGTGGCTGGGCCTGTGATATGCAGCCAGATGTATGGTCTTCCACCGTTAGTCCTGGTGTGCTGGCAGCCAGACAGGAACCCAAGTAGAATGCAGCTTCTGAGAAAGACCAGCCACCGCAGGGGCACTGGTTCAGTTGCTACCAGAGTGCTGCATTTCAAGTGGGGTGGCCTTGTCTCTCTAGCTGCCCTCCTGTGGCTTCCAGCCGTGTCTGTGTTGCCAGCCCAGGGATCCCTCCAGTTGTCTGCCTGTGGACTTTGCTGTGAGAAGCACTGTTGCAGAAGCTAAGTGTAAGAAGCTGTCTGTGTCTTGTACTTGCTAGAGAGCCCTATAGAGATTGTGTTGTACTATCACCTAGTGTCCTTATTAAGGTGCAGAGACATTGCTCTTCTGAGCTCCTGTTTGTACACCTTCATATTTGGTTTAACATATTTCTGTACTATATGTAGAGGAAACAAATGCAGGAAAGCAGTCAGGCATTAAAGGAAACTTATTTGTCAGCATTAGCAAGACTATTCTGCCATTTTTATTGAACCTGGTTGTGCTCAAAATACATTTATATTGTTTTTGAGTATCTTACACACAAAAATAACTGTTAAAGCTGAACGTATGAAGCAGGGGTACTCAACCTATTGCCCACAGGCCACATGTGGCCCTTGGAGCCCTCTGATATGGCCTACGACCTCAAACCAGGGAAGGGCATGCCTGGAGTTGGCAACCCATTGATCGCAATCTGGACTTGCTGACCCACCATTCCAGAGCATCAGAGTGCATTGACTTGGTGCTGGCAGCAAAGGAAGCAGGCAGTCGCATAAGCCACTGCTTCTTCTGTAGTTCCAGCTCCTGTCCCTAGCAGCCTGGAGATGGAGAGTGATGCCAGCAGAAGCTGGAAGAATGTCAAAACAGTGTCATTGTATTAACACATACACTGTGCTTTTGCAATGGGCATATTTGCACCTATAAAAGGGGTTAACAGCTGTCGGGCAGCTTTCACACAGATCCACGGGTGCAATGCAGTGCTCCTGTGGCTTTCCTACGGGTTAGCTGCACTGAGCCATAGACGTCTATTATATCCTGAGGGCTTGGTGTGCTTTCTGAAAGTGTGTTACACCTGCAAAATATAATAGAAGTCTATGACAAAGTGCAACTAAACCCCAGGAAAACTGTAGGTGCACTTTAAACCACGGTGCATCATTGTGAAAGCCGCCTTATAGAGGGCTCAGTTTGGGGGGGGTAAAACTCCATAGTTGAGATGTGTTTTACCACACAACCCCAACCACTGGTATAGAGCCTGGGGTCTAAACTGTGACCCCGCCTTATGATCAAGGGGGCTTGTGGGGCCTCCCTGTCACATTCTGTTTTACACTTGAACAGATGGGGCATCATATACAGGAATCGTTCCTCTCCATTTTTCTCCTGCAATCGCTGAAATCTGGCTACTCCTCCTTCCTCCTGCCAACACTGATCGACTGCAAGAGAAAAATGTTCATTATGCTTTTCAAAATAAAAATGTGAAATTCACAACCATTTAATTTAATTGTGGCCCGCGACCTGTTACCAAATCACTTACGTGGCCTTCACTCTTCAGAGCGTTGAGCAACCCTTGTACAAAGAGAGAGGCAAATAGAAATGAAAGTTGGTGGAAATTGTCATTAAAGTGGAACTGCACTGTATCTGAGCACCACACGCCAAAAATACCATTTAATTCATTGTAATATTCAAAGCAAATTCATTCATCCATTCATGTCTCCATGCGCATTTGTTTTTGCTGAGAAATCATTTAGAAAAACAATCCCTGGCATTTCTGGTAGTGGCCATGTTGAGTCAATGTTGATTGAGAGAGTGAAGTTCCTCTTTAAATCAGACTGAAGGTAGAAAATCCCTTTTAATCCTTGGGTTTAAAGGGATCACCCGTAGCAGGCGTTTCTAGTATTTTTCTGGAAATCCAGGAGTTAAGTAGATGACACAATTGCCTAATTCCTTGTGAATTTCTGACTTCATTGATCAGCGATTTGGGGATTTTTCTGAATGTCTTATGTTTGTGGAAATGTGATCTCAGGTACTGACAAGCAAATGTGAAACTTCACACAAGACTGTGATCAGAACTCCTAACCTGCTAATACTTCTGCCAGATCAGTGATTCAGAAAGCTCGTAGCCCACTGGATGAGCATGGCAACCGGGTGACATACACTGCCAGAAGGAGAGATCAGCAATGGTAGCCACCATGCATACAAAGGACAGATATTCTCTAACATGTCTTGTAAAGGGGTTTTCTGGAGAGTCAATGGCCAGAGGTGCACAACACAACTTGTGGTATTTTTCACTTTTATTATTATTATACAGGATTTATATAGCGCCAACAGTTTGCTCAGCGCTTTACAATGTAACAGGAGACAATACAGCAACAATACAGTTCAATACAAGAAGGAAAGGAGGGCCCTGCTCCTTGGAGCTTACAATCTAGGAGACTTACTGAGTTTACAATCTAGGAGACTCTCACAGTTTACAGCCAGTGAAGTGATTGGCCTCAGGTGATACAGAGATGATACAAATCCTATATAAATTATACATGTCTATCTGCAGTCTTCTCTTCTCTACATCCATTCAAAGTTCTGAATTTAAAGCTTGCCTGTGAGTTCAGAAAAAAGGGGGAGGAGAGCTGAAGTTACTCTCTGCAGAGCTCATTGAGGATAACTCTGACAACTGATTGGAGAGAAGGGACACCCCCCTCCACACAGGCACAGGAAGTGAGCAGAGGCTGTCAATCGGCTGGATGTCCCTCCCCGTCACCATTTTTCTCTTGGTGTCAGGAAAACTTGTCAGAAGTAATTCATGCTGATAGCAGGAGAACAGAGCAGCAGACAAAAGTGACACTTAATGCTCTTAGTTGAGACAAGTACACACTATAGAGGGATATGCTTTAATATATCATGTCTGAGGTTTACAATTACTTTAAAGTGATCTTGTTGCTACAGTAAAAAAGAGAGAAATACTTCCTGTAAAAAGGTGGGTTTTTTTTTTTTGCCTTTCCACTGGGGGAAAGTATGAAAATATCAAACTAATTTTATTTCTTCTTTACAACACCTTTTTTCTTCTCTACATCTTTCCTCGCTTCCATGCTGTCCTCTTCACTCTGAAAGGAGTAGTGTAAAACCGAATACCTATACTTATTCTTTGTATGGAGGTGTACATGCTCTGCCTCTACCATCCCAAAATGCAGTGCTTGGTACCTGAGTAGTTAACTGCCAGGCCCAAGTGTTATCAGCTTAGGAGGTAAGCTGCAGATCAGCTGTGTATCATCGCAGTGTATGAGCTGAACACCAAACGCATATATTAGACCTAGATGCTTTTGTGGTCCTTTTCCCTACTAGGCAAACCTTTGTACTGTACCCAATTTAAAGTGTTACTAAACCCACAACAGTAAAATCAGTCTGTATATGCAGTAAAGCATGCCTGTTATACTCACTGTGGAAATTAAGGGGTTAATCCTCAGCATTGTGTAAAAAGGCTGTTTGATCCTGTCTTCTTTGGTTCTTCCCTTCTTCCGCAGTCTCCAATCCATCTGCTGATAGCACAGAGCTTTGGGGACAAGCTGCACATGCTCGGTTTGGTGTGTATATTTAAAAAAGGGAAAATATATATATATATATATATATATATATATATATATATATATACACACACACACACACAAGGGTCATGGGTTATGCAGTCTCATAGGAGGACAATCAGGGGAGAGTGAAATCTCCTCCTACGATCTTTAACCAGTGCTCTGCTGGACACTGATATAAGTCACAAGAGTGCTCTAACTGCTGATGAGAAAAGTTATTTAGCAGTTTATATTTACTAAAATAATTGCATTTCCATGTTCTGTGCACTGTGGGAGACCAGATATAGTGAATGCAGGGTCCTGGAGTAAGGAACACTTTAAGAACTGATTATTTGTTGTGCACAGTATACTAAACAGTATCTTGTGAACTGCTTGGCTTCCAGGTGTGTGCGTGGTATTATTATTTTATATATATATATATATATATATATATTTTTTTTAAAATATCTAGAATACATAGATGGGACAGTGAACTGATTTATCCGCTTCCTGTAGTAAACAATTTTTATTGTAATCTTCTGTGGTGGTGAAGGTCAATTTTCATTTTGAAAATATGTGAACAACTGAAAGGTTAGTTGAAGCATTAAAGAATGGTAAACTGGTCCTGTTGTCTTATGTCACAAAGCGGTTTCCATTAGTATGCTGACATACACACTCCAAGCTGGATTTGTTCTACACTTCAAACAAGGTCAGTGTAACTGGGCCAGCCAGGTTTTAAGGGCAGGACCCAGATTATGTCTGAAGGTCTGACTAGGGTTATTAATCTCTCCTAGAAATCATCACTGAAAGCTGCGCTTTCATGGAACGCGCCATTAACATGATAGGGGTTTTGGAACATTTGTGTTTAGTCTGTGTATTGCAGGTCTTGCTGTCTGGAATAAATGTAATGGCGACTGGAAAATTAAAAGGTTTATTTTTCAAAGAATCTGGTAGAATAAATCTTTTGCATGCAGCCACCAGTTTCTTCTTTTCAGTTTCAGATACTGCCCACATAACTAAAATATAAATCTTACGCCTATGGGAAGGAAAAGCAGTTCCTTCCTTTAGAAATGTAATAAATGAGGTCTAATGACTTTAGCTATTAAGCATACTTGTCACATTATTTGTGATATTAGCCAGTTTAAAAATCAAGAATACTGCTGGCACCTAATGTCTGCTTGTATTTTTTAAAGATAGGTTTACTTTAAAGAAGGCAAAAATTTATTTTACACATATGGGTGTATTTATAAAAAGAAAAAATGCATAGCAATTCTTGCATTGAAAGTACATGTATGATCATTCTGTGTGAATGGGGCAACAAAAATTAATGTCATTAGGCTATTTCCAGTGCTGGTTGAATGTTTCTTTAATTGGTTTAAAACAGAAAATACTGCATTTGTCTGCGAGATTTGTATTCATATTAATTTCTTATAAGACTTACTGCAATTGTGTGGCCAAATGTAGTATTTTCTATTTTAAGTTAAAGTGTTAATAAACCCAGGACCCTGAAATCCACTATATCTGGTCTCCCACAGTACACAGAACATGGAAGTGTAATTATTTTAGTAAATATAAACTGCTAAATACCTTTTCTCATCAGCAGTTAGAGCAGTCTTGTGGCTTCTATCTGTGTCCAGCCAAGCACTTGCTAAAGCTTGTAGGAAGAGTTTTCATTCTGCTCTAGGAGGATGGAAATCCTCTGACCTCGGTTTGGACAGTGGTGATTGGCCCTGTGCTGATCACATGCACTCTCCCAAGAAAAGAAAAAAACCTCTCTAGCAATATACACCAAACTGAGCATGTGCATGCCTACGGTTCAATCTGAAGATAAGTGGTGGTTGCATGAAAAAGAGGAAAAGATAAGAAAGGATCAGACAGCCTTTTAAGCGATGCAGAGGATTAACCCCGTAGGTTCCACAGTGAGTATAACAAGCATGCTTTACTGCATATACAGACTGATTTTACTGTTGTGGGTTTAGTAACACTTTATTAAACACTTGTCAAGCACAGAAATTGGCTTAATAATATTTGTTTTTCACCCTATTTGCACAAATTGAACGTAAATGCACTTAGCAAACTGAAGTGTTTTTTTTTTTCTTAAGGTAGATCTATAGGCAAAACTTTTATTTTAGATTAAGAATGGATTATAACCTCTGAAAGGTTTATTTTTGTCATTTTTGTCCCATTGGGGAAATTTTTTCTCACTTCCTGTCCCATATGCAAAACAGGAAGTGAACCTTGACGGAATCTCTTGGGGACCCCCAGGTCACCAGAACCAGTGTCTCCTTTGGAAGATTTCCCCTCTATTACTTTTCTAGGGACAACCCAAAATTTGGGATTTTCTTTTACTTTCCCTTTTCAGTGGTAATGGTAAACAGGACAAAGGGTGGATCTCCTAACAGGGACAGAGGTAGCAAGAAAACAGACAGGTGTTCTAATCCCACTCCACTATCCAAAACTAAAAAACAAAAACAAAAAAAATTGTCTTTAGTTCTACTTTTTGACATATGACTTTTGGAGTAGAGATAATGCTTGACAGCACAAAAATATGGCCATGGGCTACAAAAGTCATATGATGTTATCTACGAAAAAAAAGAATTGCCAGGCATAAAGTACCTGAATCTATCTTGATATAAGCAAGATCAGAAGGACGACCTCACCAGTGTTCTGGGTCTACTTTAGTGGCCAATCGGTGGCATGGAGGTGTTCTTGGCCAATCTGCTGCAGCTGCCAGGGAAGTTGAGGGTGCTGCTGTGCCTCCAGCAGGGGTGGCTGGTTCACCAAACTGACTGCAAATACGTTACAGGTAACTCAGCCCCCATATTTGTATTCCAGTGGCGTATGAATCTGCTTTCCTGCAGCTCATCTTCTGGTTATTTGTTATGTAAATAGTGTTCTTTTGCTCTCTGATAGGCAGAGGACAGCGTCACCAGGTACACTATGCAATTACTCTTACAGGCCCTGTGCATTTGTAAGTAGAGCAGCTATGCTTTCATTAATTTTAATTAAAGGCCTCAATATATTTAACTATCTCAGCCCTTGTCATTTGAACTTGGGTGTAATGTGAACAATTCCTGGGCCACTTGAAAACGTATCTTGCTCTTGCAGTGGGTGAGGGTGCTCAGCCCCCGGAAGCATTGTTCTTGCTCTGGAGTGCCTGCGGTGTGAGGAACAGAGATTAGGCTGCACAGCATTAGAAAGGCACAGAGAATTGGTTTGGTGTTCAGGCTGTTTGTAATCATCAGGCTTTCTGCTTTGCAGAACTGTTCAAATGCTTCTCAATGATTATCTCTTCTACCACCTTGTGTATTTTTACTTCTGATGTTCCTCTTTAGATTTTATGGACCCAGCTCAGACACTGGTTTGGAAGTAGAAAGTTATAAATTTGCCTGTGAGGTTTGAGTTGCTTGACTTGTAAAGAAGGCTGGCTACACTTGGTTCATTTTTATTTACACTATATTGCCAAAAGTATTGGAACGCCTTCCTTTACACGCACATGAACTTTAATGGTATCCCAGTCTTCATTCGTAGGGTTCAATATTGAGTTGGCCCACCCATTGCAGCTAGAACAGCTTCAACTCTTCTGGGAAGGCTGTCCACAAGGTTTAGGAGGGTGTCTATGGGAATGTTTGACTATTCTTCCAGAAGCACATTTGTGAGGTCAGGCACTGATGTCGGACAAGAAGGCCTGGCTCGCAGTCCACTCTAATTCATCCCAAAGGTGTTCTATCGGGTTGAAGTCAGGACTCTGAGCTGGCCAGTCAAGTTCCTCCACCGCAAACTGGCTCATCCATGTCTTTATGGACCTTGCCTTGTGTACTGGTGCGCAGTCATGTTGGAACAGGAAGTGGTCATTCCCAAACTGTTCCCACAATGTTGTGAGCATGAAATTGTCCAAAATGTCTTGGTATGCTGACGATTTAAGAGTTCCCTTCAATGTAACTAAGGGGCTAAGCCCAACCACTGAAAAACAACCTCACACCATAATCCCCCTTCACCAAACTTTAGCCGCTTGATTTTATACTCGTGGCCATGGAGGTGATTGGAACATCTATATCCAATGATTTGGAGGGGTGTGTCCAAATACTTTGTTAAAGTGTTACTAAACCCAGGACCCTGCATTCACTATATATGGCAGTATACAGAACATGGAAATGCAATTATTTTAGTAAATAAAAAAGGCTAAATACCTTTTGTCATCAGCAGCATATAGCAGTCTGGTGTCTTCTATCAGTGTCCAGCAGAGCACTGGTTAAAGTTTGTAAAAGCAGATTTCATTCTCCCTTGACTGTCCTATGACCCTGAGCCTCTGTCTAGACAGCGCTGATTGGCCCTGTGCTGATCACATGCACTCTCCCAAGAGAAAAAAAAAACTCTAGCAATACACACCAAACTGAGCACGTGCAGCTTTCCCCCAAGGCTCTGTCTTATCAACAGATGGATTGGGGACTGTGGAAGAAGGGGACGATCCGAGAAGACGTGATCAGACATCCTTTTTACACAATGCAGAGGATTAACCTCTTAGGTTCCATAGTGAGTATAACCAGCATGCTATTATGCAGTCACTAGAATTGGTTGGCTTGGATATTTTTATGATTCTACCCAAAACATGCTTATCAAAATTATTTATGTTTCACTGCATATACAAACTGATTTTACTGTTGTGGGTTTAGTAACACTTTAAAGATGCCCAAAAAAATACCAGTCATTAGGCAGATTGAGTCAGTAATATGAGTGTCTGTGAGTCGGCAATAGAGACAAATATCCCCACCGATAACAGCTAACATAATATACTGCTGAAATCCCCTGCGCAGTCTGTAAACTAAGCATGGATATTGAAAATGTGGATCTGCCAGATTTGCCCATGAATGTGGATGGAATCTGCCTGGGGGAAGAATACCTGTCTGAGAACTCTCCAGTGCATGTAACCATACTCCAAGCCCACCTACAAGCTCCTGCCATCCAGCTTGCCTGTACTGGAATGAATGTCCTTGAGGTCCTTAGAGGGTTCTCCCTCAAGTATTGCTCTTGATGCCGGGTTCCAATAATTGCTTAAACTGTGAAAGCTGTGTCCAAAAAAAAGAAGCATTCCCTTTGCCTGTGGTCTCGCTGAAGCTGATCTTTTACCCATTACCAACTTACCATACCTTGTTCTGCACTGTGCCTCTGTGTTGAAGCCACCTTGGTAGAAGCCACCAGTCGGGACACAGTGCCCTAAAGCCGGCTATAGTTGGATCAAATCTTGGCCAGTTCAGCGGGACCGGCTGAGGTTCAATCCACCTATGGGCAGGCTGTTTGTCCTGAAGTTTATTCATTGATCGACTT